GGAATTGGTCCTTTGACTTGAGGTCGTCATAGTGCCTTATATGTGGACAGTTATGTTTTCACAGTATTGGATGTTGCTCTAACAAAGGCCGCTAATACAACATCGTTCGGGTATGTCAAAAATGGTATGAAAGTTGTGAATGACCAATAGAGGATTCGTCACTCTTAGATAATAATATATTATGATATGCATTTCATTTAATTAAGTCGATAGCGAAATCCTTGACCCATGTGTACTTCTAAGTCGAAAAAGAGTTCTCGACTTACATTGACTTAATAGTTGAATCGAAGATATGATCAATAATCGAGATTAATACACTTCCATATCTCATAATTGATTTGATCTTATTGACGAACGGATTATAATTTCACGGTAAATGAACAAATTTGGTTTTGTTATACCACGTGACATTTTTCGTCACATGTATTGTCTTGACACATTGCTAGATGTCAATCTGGGACGGTGAGTGTGAGTTGATGATAAATTAAAAGAGTGTTTTAATTTATCAATTTTGATTAGATCAAAATAATATTTCACGTCGTTAGACATTGTAATCGGGAACCTGATGAGTCGCATACAAAAGGAGAACTAGAATATTGTGATTTGTCAATTAATTAATTTAATTATTTGGATTGCTTATTTATAGGCCCGAATTACTTAATTGAATTCACGAATTGGATTTAATTAAATCGATTAATTGAATATTGGATCAGGTAAGGTCAAGCCCATTTGGACTTATATAAATATGACTAGGGTTTTCAAAAGAAAAAATTCATATTTCAGGTGTATTCTTTACAACATTTCAAAAATCAGATAAAAAGTTTGAAAAATCAAAATTCAGGTTTGTATTTAATTAATTAAAAATATTTATTAAATAAATATATTAAAGTCACAGTTAAACAATTAATGGTCTCAGATTTATTTACTGGTCACATATCTTCAAATTAATTGATTATAGATTTATTTACTGGTCACATATCAAAAATTTTATAGATTACAAATTATTTCAAGATCACGGATAAAAAAATTTAGAGGTCACATTTTTAAGTCACGGATTATCAAATTTTAAGGTCACAGACCAAATAGTTGATGTCACAGATTAATTTTTTAATCATATATTGTCAAATTTTAAGGTCACATGCCAAATCGTTAGTCACACATACCAAATACTCCACTGTTGAACCCAATCTACCACCAATGCTTGGTCACAAAGCAACCAAATGATCGCTACCACCACCATCAACAATGTCGCCACCACTAGGTCCAACACATTGCCAACAAAAATCACCACAACTACCACTATCAAATCCGTTGCCATCGCCACCACCATTGTAACCATTGCCGACACCATTTTACAACACCACCATCACCACATACCACCACAAACAGATCACACCAGTCGTCACCACTATCGCATGTATCTGACCTAGATCCACCGCACCGTTACCGAATACACCACACACAATCGCAACCTGCCTCCACCATGCACCATCCCTAAAATTCGGAGCCACCAGATCAAAGTTCGAACAGTATGACATAGCCAAATCCTGCAACATCGCTCATCAAACAGTATAGGCAGAGTCGCGTAATGTACCAGATCGAGCATAGTGTTTCTCTCGGTTGCAATAGAGAGGAGAAGAGAAGGTGGAACGCACCAGCTTCATCGACAGTGCTCGAGCCTCGAAGCTGCGCTCGACGGTGTCTTCAGCTGCGGGTGCTCCTCAACAGCAATGGCCATATGTGACAAATGATAGAGAGAGATGAGAAATGAAGAGAAAGGTGAGTGGAGAAGATAGAAGAAAACTGATAGGATACACCGCCGACGACGGGTGCTGTGAGAAAGTGTAGAGAGACGACGAGATATTAAAAATGATAGGGTTTGTGTGGGATTAGTTGGGTATAAAATTTAATTATTAATTCAATACTTGAATTTTGATTAAAACAACTTTGTAATTGATTTTTGCACTCGAACGTTGAAACACTTGTGTTTTTGTAATTTCCACTTTTCAAAATCTGTAAAGAATTCATTATTTTTGCTAGCAAAAAAAGAAAATCATAATCCTACAATTTTGTTCTTTGTGTGGATCACTGTTAGAGGTTGGACAATTTGATAGTTGTGGGAGACAGATCAAGATTGTTGGAACAAAGAAAAAACAAAGGGGTTTGTAGATCTAAAAAATGTATGATTTTTATCACAATTTTTATCTAAATACAAAGATGATTTATGGTGAAAATTCAAAATTGTTTTAATATCCGCTTCGCATGATAAGTAAATTCTCAACAGTGGTATCTTGGAATTGATTGAAGATTCTTCTGTCATTTCGCACCGTTATAGATTAGGGTAAAGTTTGAAAAAAAAAAAAAGTAAAAAGTTAGAGACCGCTATTGCAATTCTCTCTAATTTTAATTGTTAGTACAATCTAGTTTAACTACCGAACACGTCACTTGTGAACAACACGCTCACTTTCAAACCTTTAAAATTAAATTATAAGATCATAAAAGTTATTATAATTTTTTTGATTAATTTATCTGTTCCAAACCTTATGAGTTAATCTATAAAAAAAATTAAGTGGTTTCGTGAAAATATTATAGATTATTTATTCATTTATTTATCTGAAGATGTAATTATTTGTGAACATTTACCTCGGATATTATGGGGATAGGAGTTCAATATCTTTTATTTTATGATTTACATAAACTGAAATTAAGTTTCATTAGTTCACTTACGGTTCGTTTGATTACAAAAATAGAATTTGGATGGAAAGAAAATGAATTCTAGGAATTGAATTGTCTAGAAATTATTTTTCCGTGAATTGTAAATTATTGTGTTTTATTGGTATAATTTTTCATGTAGAAAATGTTAAAATAAAAGTTTTTTTTTTGTGTTTGTTTGTCTTTGTTTTATATGAAAATTGTCTATTAAAGGGATGCAATTTACTGATATTGGGGATGAAATTTGTTTTCATTGCAAAAAAAAAAATCAAGAAAATAATCTATTTTTTAGTATTCGTTTGACTTTGTTTTACATAAAAATTGTTAATTAACGAAAAATATTTTTTTACAATAATTCTTAGAATTTGTTTCCGTTATAAAAAAAAGTCAACTACCTGGATTGGTGGGAATTGATTTTCCCACAAAAGTTAGAAAACTAGAACTCCCAAGAAATCGAAGAACTTGATTTCTATGGAAAATATAACACTATTAAACACATAAAAGTTGAAAATTGGCATCTTAATTCCATTTTTCCTAAAAAATTGGTGCCTATCAAACCGTGCGTTAGTGGAAATTATTTAATTTAAATTGGAGTATCTATTTAGGGGAAGGAGTGAGAATGCGACAATGTCGATTCTCAAGCCTGACGAGGCGATTACTTATTGTAAGTATAATTCAAAAATTAATAATAAATTATTTTATATAATTAATTTAAGAAAATTTAAAAAATAAATAAAAGGTGCTCACCTTTTGGTCACATTTTGTGTTCCTAGACCCACCTTAGTCACACCTTTCCACCTTTCACAGTCTATGCTCGCATTATATTTTTAGGCAATCAAAATAGAGTTGATTGACTTTTTCAAGTGCAAATTTGCCTTGGTCACGCATGCCTTTAATTAATGGTTAAGAGTACTACATATCATTGAAGGCCCCTTAGTAGGGTGAATAATATTTTTGGTGCTCATTAATTAATGTAGGAAACGATTGGCTATATTTTTTTAATATTATACTTATACAAATTTTTAATTATTTTTTGCAAAATTCAGATTACAAAAAATTACTTAATATCCTTATTTTTCTCATAAAAGTCCTGGTTTTTAAAAACTTTAATTCTATATTGAGTACATCTTTATTTATTGACATGCTAATGCATTAATAAATGCTAGATTTTATTTTTACTGCAGTCATATTTCCACAAAATTCCAAAATTTTTATAACTTCTATTCTCTCTTTGACAGGATTTTTATTTATTTATTTATATTCAAATTCATAAAATTATTTCCAATTATTTTCATTTTTAAGCCGGAAAATGGAAATAGTCGAAACATAAATCAGCGTTGTAGATTCATATAATGGTAGATAGTCTATGCCTATTGCCTAAATTATCAATTTTTGATTGCCTTTGTTATGTAATTAATTATTGGAGCATTAATATATTTGTACAAATTATTGAGTTTTATACAAATAAATTTAATTCTTCAGATGACATATAAGACATGTTTATCTGTACGAAGAAACGTCGCATTGGTGAGCACTTTGACTTTTAAACTTCTAAAACAAAGATTTCAAGATTGTAATAGTTAGCTCTTAATAACTTAATTGTATCAGAAATAACTATATTTATGTCCATTAAAATCTAAGAATATGCTACTTGTACATTCCATATCAATATCAGTGGATATTGGTATGAACACCCTGATGTACATGTAGCGTCATTCTTAAAGCCATAATAACTTTAAAATGTGTTAAAATGTTAAGCAACATATCGAATTCGTCTGTATTGAATCAAATAATTTATACAAAAAGGAATTAATGTGCTCGATCATTAATTACATCATATCATATACAAACAAATGAACAAATTAAATATTTACTACCTTGCAAGTGCTTTAATCACAACTTAACAATTATACTTTTATACATGTAACACGATTTCATGAATCTATTACTTTGATTCATGTAATGTATCGGCTTAAAAAAAAAATGAATAATAATATTTTTATTTTAATATAAATAACTAAATAAAAATCGATATTGTGTGTGGCCTACTACTTTAAGCAAAAATCAGGAAAAAGCCTTCACTTTCTGGTTATCCAAAGTTCAGTTTTTGACAGGGCAGTAGTGTAATTAAACTGAAAAGAAAGGGTAAGAACCTGACAGAATCCAACCTTCTGTGATTGTTATGTCGCTTTTGCATTTACCCTTTTTCGACGGTTAAATAGCAATTACACCCCACTCTCGAGAATCGAGTCGTCCCTGGTATTTTTTGCCTCGGGTTTTGCAATTATTACAATTTTGCCTTCACCCATTTATTTATTTATATATTTATTCCTTCTTCACTCCTTAAGCCACTGTACCTCCTCTGCGCGTTGCTCTGCTTTGCTCCGCTCCATCAATCCAAAACTCGCTATTGCTTTCTCTCTAAACATAAACACAACATATATATAGAGGAAGAGGAAGAGGAAGAGGAAGAGAGAGAGAGAGAGAGAGATAGGAAGAGCGCAGAAGGGGGAGGATTATCCTGTGAATTCGAGGTGAGTAGATTTTTTTATTTTTTGATTGCTTGTTTTAGAAAAGCTTGATTATGGGTTTTTGTTTTTGAATCTGTTTGAGATTGTGAGTGCTTGATTATCAATGCAGGTTAATAGTGTTAGATGATCGCGTGATTTTTTATTTCCTTTCAATTTTTATTTTTTATTGCGGGACTGTCCCTTTTTTAGCCGATCATGTTGCATGAGTAAATGTAATCCCCGTTTTTCATGTGGAGAAAAGGAAGAATCTTCGTATATATATGTAATTGCTTTTGCATGACATTGAAAATCTATGGATTTTGCAATGTGCGTAGATACTGTCTTTTCTTCTTCTAAGTCTATCGGTTATGTGTTAATGAACTATTTGCAAAAGAAAATTCAACTTGATTCCTTATATATTCAATTTCTGTGGCATTTTTTTTTTCTTGTCCATCTCTGGAAATTGAGTTTTCCATTGAAGTGTTAATATTGTTGAGATTACATTTTTGTTGACAATGAAATTTCGACTGAATAATTTTGATGTGGGACAATCCTATTTGGAATAGGATTGGTTTTTCTTTGTTATTTAGATTTAGAATATGATTTCTAATCTTTATTGTTTCTTTCAGATTAGGATTTTAGTTTTCTTTCCTTTTAGAATTTTATTTAGTTTCCTTATATCAGTAAAGTTAGGGAATAATTTTTCGTAGATATACAAAATCTTTGTACACTTTCCAAACATCTATTTAATATAATATAATTATTCTCTACATAGTTCCTAGGTTTTTTTTTTTAATATTTTTAAACTTTATTCTTGTTTCAAGAATTTCAAATCTACTTTCGCACCAAAATTGGTATCAGAGCAAGGTTTCCCCTTGGCTGATGGTTATTTATGGTGGTAGTTGTATGTATCCTTGCGACAATGATTGGTAGATTGCAAAACCAACCTTGGTCCAGAATTTGGAACGACTGATGGATATGTTTAGACTTTAACTGCCATGAATGTTGGCTGCTTCAACAAGCCTAAAACACGGCAACAAGTGGTTAGAGAGTTTCCTTGAGTCCCAACTAAGTTCAAAGGATCGTGTGAAAATCTACTAGGGTGACAAGATTTTTAGAACATGATGAACCATCAACAACAAACTATGCAACGTAATAATAGATCTGGGAGTAGTGACAACACGGTATCCAAAGCATTTGTAAAAGTTTGACATTTGAAAACTGAAAAATACTCATGTTGCTATCAAATTCTACTAGTTAACCTTGCTATCAAGTTCCACTGGTTAAAAAGAGGCAAGAAATTCAAAATATGGAGGTATATAAATATTCACTTTCTATTGGAAAGTACTACAAAGATGTGATTGTGTAATGTGGTAAATATGGATGATTGTCCTATACTTTGGGGACAACCATTGTACTATGATGTAGATGCCACTTACATAGATCGATGTAACGTGTATTTATTTTGGTGGTACGATAAGAAGATTATTTGGGTGTCAATTGATGAGCAATTCACTAATACTAGTGTAACAGAGAACAAAAAATTTATGAGGTATATGATGAGGTTAAAAAAGATATCATTCAAGAGCAGGATGTCAGAAAAGCACGTGTAAGTTGAAAATCAGGAAACATGTTAATCCTTTATATATGAATATTGGCAATGAAAACAAGCATAAGGATGAAAAATATTACGAATAAATTGTAATTGAATTTTCCAAGATTGAGCTGCACTCTGATTAAGAAGAAAAGGGAATTGAACTTTCCAATCACGAAGGAATCGAAGGCGAGGCTTGTCAAATTAAGAATAAAAATTTCGTTTACATTCTCTATGATTTGAAGCCTAAAAAATTGCGCACAAGGAATATAGTAAAAGAATTGTAGCATTGAAGATGACATCAACTGAAGAAAAAAAAAAGAAAAAGAAAAAAAAGAAGAAGAAGATGAGAAGCATAATGAATTTATTATTTTAGTATTTATATGTGCACAAAAGGGATTTAAAAATGAGAGATTGAATAAAACATCGTTTGTAAAGGATCGTCACATAGAAAGTATCCTTAAGAATGAGAAGATGAGCAAAGTCGATAAAGAGATGGATATCTATTCGATATGTGATGTGGTAGAGATTTTTGAATATTTTTTTTCCCTGATTGATTGATTTTCTTTTCTAAAGCAAACTCGAGAACGAATTTTTCAGGCAAGAGAGTATGATGTAGGACAATCCTATTCCAAATAGGATTAATTTTTCTTTTTCTTTGTTATTTAGAATAAAATTTCGTTTTCTTTCTCATTTAGAATAGGTTTTCTAATCTTTATTGATTAGAATATGATTTCCTCTTTCTTTTATATTATGATTTTAGTTCTCATTCTTTTTAGGATTTTACTTCCTTATATCAGTAAGGTTAGGGAATAATTTTGCCTATATACACTAAGGTTTTATACATTTTTCAATCATCTATTCGATACAATAAAATTATTCTCCTTCATAGTTTCTATTTCTTTAACTTTATTCTTGTTAAAAAATTTCAATTCCCACGCCAAAATAAATGAGCTACATGAGAGGCATGTGACATCTTCTTCTAGGGAATAAAGTGAACCATTATATAGAATATATCAACTACTACAAAAATCGAATCATATACGTATTCGATCAGGAGATGAATGGAAAACAACATTCAAAACAAAGGATGGCTTATATGAATGGCTTGTGATGCCTTTTGGGTTATCTAATGTTCTAAGTACCTTTATGCGGTTAAATCAAGTCCTTCAACCCGGAAAACTCGTATTAGTTTACTTCAACGATATTCTTACCTAAAGTCAATGTGATGAAGACCACTTGTTACATCTTTAAGATGTTCTCACGGCTTTGAGAACTAACAAGTTGTATGTCAATATAAAGAAATACAATTTTACGGCAATTCAGCTTTTATTCCTGGGATTTATTGTCAAAGCTGATGGTATCCAAGTTGATGAATGTAAGGTTAAGGTAATTCGAGATTGGGCAACCCCCCGCATCGTATGAGAAGCTTTGATGCTTGGACTTTTCGAAACGGTTGGAATATTGTGTCGGACATGACATGGGCATAGGTACGGTATATCTGTTGGATCCTCAAAATTTTAATCGAACACTTCACCGTTTTGCTTCTTTCTTTCCCTTTTCTACTTTTTTTCCTTCTTTCCCTCTCTATATAAGATTTTGTTTGTATAAATGAATATAGATTCCATATAGTGCTTCACTAAGTTCAAATTACAATCAAGTTAAACTTCCCATAATTGAAAATTAAACCCCAAAATTCTATTTTTTTTTTGTCTTAACCCCTTATTCTATGCTCATTTCCTTTGTGACCAATTAAACTGAAGAATGTTCTTGTAAATTATGGCCAATACTGGGCGGCTCGGTTATTGATAGAGTGAATAGATCTGCCATTATTGAAATCTCTCTTATATAAGGTCTACGAGTCATCTCATAAAAGACAGTGTAATAAAGCATCAATACTATTGGTCTATTCTAAATGACATTTTGGGTTAGTAAAAAAATTGAAGCTTGAAAGATATCCATTTATCCATGTTCGAAATTTGGACTTTTTTTATCCATGTCTCATATCCTACATTTTAGAAAATAAAAGATTTGACGCTTAGATGCGTACTCGTACCCAACAACCATACTCGATTCTGAGCATCATAGGCTAAAAGTGCAAAATTTTCATGGCTTAATTACTTTTTATCGTCGTTTCGTTTAGGGATTTAGTTCTATTATGGCCTCTGTTATTGATTGCTCAAAGAAATGTAGGTTTTTGCAGGAGAACACGCTAGGTACGAATTTCCAACTTATTAAACTCAAGTTATGTACAACACCTGACTTATCATTGCCAAATTTTGAGAAATTTTTTGGGGTAGAATGTGATGCTTTTGTTTTAAAGCATAGAAGCAAAGTCTCTGTTTGTTCAAGTAAAGATAGGAGTTCATTAAAAGACAACGAAGGTCAAAGAATTTTATTTTATTTTTAAAATTTGTTAACAATTAGACTCTTAACTTTTGATAATCATGCTAAAACATTTTATTTTATTGTGAAAATAAAGCAATTAGCAATTTGATGCAATTATTTATTTATTTATTTAAAATAGACTGACTTGAACGCTGAAATAAAAATACGTGTTCAACATGAAAGAAATTGATACATCATGAGACTCAAAAAAGCCAAACAGTGTCCCGATCATGATTTTCAAATTGGCATAGCTATAGTGGAAAGCTATAATTGAATACTCCTGAGCGGTAGGTTCTGTGAACAGATCACAGGTCGTGTAACTAATTTAAAAAAATTCGTTTATTTCTTTTTTCACTTTTTTTTTTTAATTTTTTATTTTAATAATAACATCATTTAATCACTGTATCTTACACTTAAGGCAAAAAATAGAGGCAAAGACAAAAACCGATGCCGAAATAGAGAATTCAACAATGGCAGGATGTTTGAGCATTTGAGAGGTATGCCAACGATGTCGAGCTGCTGGCAGCAAGGACGTGTTGTTGGCATGGTGGCATTTGGGTAGTTGACGAGATGGAAGTGTGCTGGTTACAAGCAGAAGAGAAAGGCGGCAATTGGTTTTGTTAGCGAATAAGAAAAGAAAGGGGGTAAAGAAGAGAAGATTTAAGGGCAAAGAAAAATCAATTTTTATTCATATAATCAGGTTGTGAATTGCATCGAATAAACCCTTTATTTATAGAGCAAGAAACTAGAAGGAATTAAAATCAAGAACTTCTAACAAACTAAAACTTTATCGAAATACTTGAACTGACCTAATTTAATTAAAATTTAAAATATTTATAATTCAAATTAAAATCTATTTATAAAATTCTATTATAATTATAATTATAATTATAATTCTATCTTTATCTGTATCTTGACCGCCCAGATTAATTTTCTTATAAAGATATGCATGAACTTGGGGCTGGTTTGGGAAATTATTTCAAGTTTGTAAACATCAATATTTAAAGTCACTGCTCATATAATTCTTTCCGGTGGCAACTTTAGTCTACAATGCAATGCCTCCAACAACTTTTGTCGCTTGGCTAGCACCCATCAGCTCTTGAGATTCTCTGTAACCTAAAACGTTGAATTGCCTAGACCATTTTTTCATGGGTATTTCAAGTTTAATTTCAAGTTTGGCATCCATATGTCTCGTAAGTTTCCACGATCAACTTGTTCAATATTGCATAATGTTGCATCCAGTATTGCGGATGAGTTTCCCTTTGCTGTGTAATTACTCATGGCGCAAAATGCATGTTCCATCTGAAAAGAATTCAAGACATGATAAGTCTATCTTTACTTTTACATTTTAAGTTATCCTTTGAACAAATGCCCAATTCTCATTTTTACTGTATCCAATGGGAGTTACTGGTTCATGTATTCATTTTAATTAGTTCTCTTGTTCAATTTATGGATTGAGCCTATTTCTTTACATGGGCAGTATTACTTAACTTCAATGGATAATGACGTGAATGTGGATCAGCAAGTTACATCAAGTCGTCTAAAGGGAATCATTTTCAATATTTTATCCGAGGAAGATGCAGTAAGTATTTGTTGTCTTTGTTGACACACCAGTGCATATGCTGTTTACTCATTCTGCCATTTTGTGAAACCATTCAACAAGTGTGTAGGTATTTCTAAACTTGGTTGAGAATGGGGCCCATTCCAGTGTCTTTAGTTGTGTTTATTTTTTTGTTCTTTTTATTATTAATGCTCTAAAAACCGGGATTTTTTAAGTAACAGCCTATTTCCTTGTGCTTGTGAAAGAGTCTGTCTTAAAGCCAGTGGAATTTATCTCATGGAAGACTGTAGTTAAATAGTCAATTTGGTAAAAGTAATTAAGAAGGTCGTCCAATCTTGAGATCCAGTATTCTAGGCTACATTGGCAAAGTCATAGTTAATATAGTGGGTCTGTTCTTCAATGAATCCTTTTCAGGCGTGTACACCCACTGTAATTTTATCTCTTTGCTGCATATTCTGTCCCCTGATTTTTTGAAATCCTGCTCCACTTTTATGCATGTGATGATTATACTACCCCTTGAATTATTATTATTGTTGTTGTTGTTGTTGTTGTTGTGAGATGGAGAGCCATGTTAATGAACTCAATGTTAATTTTGCACTGCATTTCTAGAGCAAGATATCAGCCATCGTCGTCGGAGCAGTCAATGAAGTGTCAGACCCTGCATTGGGACTGCCCAACCCGAATTCAAATGAATGCCTTACATGTGGTGCTAAACGTAATAGAGAGTGTGAAGGTACCTTCTGAGCTTAAGGATTAACATGCCACTTTATGATATCCATCTCCATCTCCCTCTCTCTCCCCTCCTAACCAAATGCTTTGCTTTGAAGCTTGTCACATTTTATTTCCTTATTTTTCAGGTCATTTTGGGTTGATCAACTTGCCATATACAATTCTCAATCCATACTTCATGTCAGAAGTTGCACAGATTCTTAATAAAATCTGTCCGGGATGTAAATTTCTTAGGCACTATAAGGTCAAGGTCAGGTACCACATTCTCATATACTGAAATTAAGGTTGCTGAAGTGGCAAGAAAAATTTCTCTCTCTCTCTCTCTCTCTTATTGTGTAATACATATGACGCAGCAAGAAGTGAGAAATAGGAGAAGAGCACGAATCGAAGCTCGGCAATTCCCAATGGAATACCGAGAATTGACCAATTAACAATCATATTTATTCAACTGTAAATTGAGATCTCATTGAAGTTAGAATCTCGTTAATTCTAAGCAGACATTGAGGATTGATTTTGATCAACAGATTTGTAGGTTCAAACTTTATACTGATACTGAATTGAAGTGATATGGAAGAAACTTCAAAGACTTCAATTTTATTCAATAAACAACCAAGTTACACTGAAATCCTGATTCCCTATATACACAAGAAATACTGTAACTAATGTTCTAGACCAAAACAAACTCTAGGAACTATATATGATTAAATAAAACTCCTTTAAATTAAACATTGAATTATAATATTTTATAACAAAAGAATAAATTAAGTAATTTGAATAAACGAGCACATAATATCTACCAAAATGAAAGAATTCCTATTCTACTGCCTTAATGTCGAAATTTGGCCAAAAACCCATTGAGCTCAAGAGTTTTACCCAGTGAATTCTGTTTAAGGCCTGTTTTTGCTTAAAAATCTTGTATTTTTCATCCAATTCAGATACAGCTGACCGAAACTGGGTCAAAATTTTTTATTGCATCACATAATAAACACATTTTATTTTGCATTTGATCTATTCCAACCTTTTGATATTCCTCAACTGTGACCCTCCTGCATGTTAGTCTGCATAAGCTGTCTCATGTTTAAGTGATCAAGTCGGGTTAATAGTGCTAGTTCTTCATCATTAAGGGTGCATCTGCTCATGGTTACTTTGGACCATTTTTGTGTTTTAATGTATGAGAGATGTCAAGACTTTGGCATTTCTATCAATTGACTGTTAATATCCATTTGGAAGAATCAGGCTTGCTCAGTTTATAGGGCACAAGAACTCACTCCACATACTAACAATATTTGGAAGGTTTGAGGTACATGGGGGGCTCTGTAAATTTCTTATTTTGTTTGAGCTATCAGATTAGTTAATAAGAATAAGAATATGTCCAAGGGAAGATGGTTTCTAAGTATTGTTGGATTCACTCAATAGACGTAAATTGGATATCATTGTGTGGAATTGAGAGCTTTCTCTTCTGGTATTGTTCATACGAAGAAGTGGACTTTCATCTGCTCCATCTGAATTTTTAGTTCTGCCCATCACAATCAACTTGGAAGGCTGGTAATGGAAATTATTGTACTCCTGTCCACTGTTTCTTTATCAATGTGTGAAACTATTTTTCAGATTATTGTATGCCACTAAAAATGATGCACTAAATGACATTCATTTATTAAATATATATATATTTTTTTCCAATTCTTTACAAAATGTTAATACTTTTCTTTTGTTTATGCATGCAGCAGAAAGCTGATTCCTCGTCTAGTCATCATCAGCCTAGGAATTGCAAATACTGTACTGTAAGTTCCTTTGGCAATTAATGTGCTTTTACTGCGTGTGTTACCAAACTTATATTCCATACGGAAAACAGGGAAGACTAAGAGACCGTTATCCACCAATGAAATTTAAAGTATCTTCCAAAGACATGTTTGCGAAGACGGCAATTGTTGCAGAGGTCAATGAGAAGTTCATAAATAATGGCTCAGGAAAAGTTTTGGCTTCTGACTATTGGGATTGCATCCCTCAAGAAACAAACCCAGAAGAGAGTTCCTCACAATCAAACATAAGAGTTCTATCACATGCCCAGGTATCATTTCCATTGCCGTTTCTAGTTGAGTGGATGTATTGTTCATTCTTATCTCCTGTTTGTTTATTTGTATTATGATCCCTACATTTCAGCAAGTGCACTTTTTGTTTTTACATTCTTTAAGTTTGTTCATTGCTGTGTATTATAGTTTTTCTGTTTTCTATGACTTTGAAGCTGCCACAATGAATTCCTTTACCCTAAGGTTGCCTCTTAAGCTATGATGTACTTTCTCCGAAAAGCACCTGCTACATTGATATAATCAATTGAATGTCAAGTATGTGAACGCTGAAATCACATAATTTTTACGACAACATGAATGTGGAATTCCATAATTTTATGGGGTGAATGCTGAAATTTTTGATCGATGAAGTCCTAAGGTAGAATGTTAATTTTTTTTTTTTTGTTGTTGATTTATATGGGGACAAGGTTTTATTTATTTACTTGTTTTAAGCAAAACACAATTACATGCTCCACCAGGAAAGACTGATGGGGGTTTGGATTTTCCTGCCAAATATATAAAAACAAACTCTTGAGAGCAAGTCATCCACGACAAGTCTGCCTATACCCAAATGTCTGATAATCCAAGTTGTCGAGCAAGTAAAATTCCATCCAAGATGGCCTGTAGCTCAGCTTCCAGAGTAAGGCAGTCTCCATATGACGACGAGAAAGCCCTAACACGATGTCCATCTTGGTCCCAAATAATGCTTCCACCACTAGCAAATTCCATCCTTGAAGCATCCATCAGTGTTGATCTTGTAGGATCCAACCGGTGGATCCTGATTTGTTCTAATTAGTTAAGTCTTATAATCCTATGTTTTATCCAAGAGGTAAGTCTAGACACTTCATGATCAATAATAAGATAAGTACAGGAATGTTATTTCTTCTTAGGTTGCATAGTTATAATTTCTTTTAATCCATTTTTCCTTTTGTGGCAAAATCTATCAGCATCAAAAGTAAGGAATGTGAATTCAACTAAAATGGGAGCACAACTGCTAAATATTGGTATTAGGGTTAGATATTTATTTCTATGATAATTGATATTTGCAAACAAACAAAAGGTGTGCTATCCTTGTAGAATTTGTCAATGAGACTGCAATTCCGATGTTTTGTCTTCAACATAGTCAGGGAAGTTATAATGATCAAGTTTGAATAGAGATAAAACTTCTTCATTGAACTTATTTTAGTTATACTTAAGAATATTTAATCAACATATCCTTGTGTCATCAATATGGGCGAGAATTGTGTGGCAGTGAATGGTCAAAGAGTATGATAATTTATACAAATCAAATAGTTAGGGCTGCTTGTAATATTTTCAGTTAGTTGGCTATATGATCTCACTCTTTGGCTGACCCCTGTATGTCTCATTATCAAAAACTTCTGGAGTATTCTTTCAATGTAGTTTTCGTCTAAGATGAGTAGGAGATGAAAGAAAATATTGAATCACATGCCTATAAACTAGTAGATGAAGGATTATGTTAAGTCTCATTCATAAATTATAGAAAAATTTTACATTAAATTGTATGTGCAAAGAACATTAATAGTTAATTTCTGTAATAATTATTTTCTTGTAGCGATTATTTTAAGTTACTAGTAGCAGGTAGACATAGCTTCTTAATAGAATTAAGCTCCTTGTAAGTTGACAAGTCCCATGAAGTATCAATGGAACGCATATCAATCTTTTCCTTTTTCTTTAGCTGTTAAAGTTGAATTACTCGTTTAGGACTGATGTTTTGCTGAGTGCAATAATTTTTTTTGTACTGCATCCCAATGAAAACTTTCTTATCAATTTATGGGATTTCTGCAGTAGCATTTATTCTTTGTAGGTGTGCTATGTGGCTGACACATGGTATATTTGGATTGAAAAGAATAATAAAATTTTGTATGATAGCTATCTTTCTATCTCATTTGCTGAGGATGGTTTGATTTCATGTTCTCTACATAAGTATGAGAGCTTCGGATTAGAGGAAGATCTTTGATTGATTAATTTTTATTTCAAATTCTTGTAGCTGAAGAATCCTTGTTCTCTAACTTGGCTTTATTTCCTACTTTTATGATATCCTAGAAATTTTTCAATGTCTTCCTGATTACATTTCTTAATATTCAGCACATTCAGGAATGTCTAGAAAGGCATTAGAGAAATGGACCTTCTATATCTGTTCTTGTTCGATGAAAGTAAGGATCTCAAAGAACTGATCTTTCTTCATGTTTTTGAATCTCTCTTTTATTGATCAACCTGTGGTATTGCTAATCCAGAACTATTCTACCTCTGTCTTTATAATTTTTCTTTCAATTAATAAAATTCAAAAAAAAAAAAAAAGGAACTTATCCCTCCTGCCTGACTTTCTACCCCTGTATTTCTAATAACCATTTAGGCCTTACTCTAGAAGACATGGATCTTTTCTATATCTTTCTTATATGGTGGCTGATGTAGGATAGTCCTATTTTAAATAGGATAGAAGTTAGTTATTATTTAGATTAGGATTTTGTTTCCTTTTTAGGGTTTTAGTATATTTTCCTTGCATTGGTAAGATTAGGGAATTATTTTGCCTAAAGGCTTTGTAACTTTTGAAATAACCAATTCATTATAATCAAATTAATCTTTTCATATTTTTTCGAGTTTTTAACTTTATTCATGTTTCAAGAATTTCAATTCCACTTCTACACCAAGATTGGTACCAGAGCAAGGTCTGTCCTTGACTGATGGTTACCTATGATCGTTGTGGTACGCATCCCCATGATGACAATTGGAGGATTTTAAAATATTAATCTCGGTCTAGAATCTGAAACGAAGGATGGATAGGTACGAAGATGCTGCTGACAAAAAATTGCAAATTTGACCACTACGAATGTTGGTCGTTTCAATGAATTCAGAAAACAGCAACATGTGGCTAGAGATTTTTCTCGAGTCCCAGCTAAGCTCGAATCCTCACAACATGATGCAACTTTTTGAGGTTTTCCTCCAAATTGACTAAAGTTCTCTTCTTCAACCAAACTCGGAGATGAGTGCAAGATAATTCTATTATAAATATGTATAATATGATAGAATTTAGTTCTTACTTAGATTAGGGTTTTGTTTCCTTTTAATGATTTTATTTGTTTTTCATTTCAGGATTTTAGTTTAGTTTCCTATATTGATGAACTTAGGGAATTATTTTGCCTATATCAACAAACACTTTGTACAATTTTCAAAGAACCAATTTATTATAATCAAATTATTCCCTGCAAATTTTTGAGTTTTTCAACTTTATCCCGTTTCAAAAATTTCTTTTCTGCTTTCGCACTAGTGGCCTTCTTGGCCATGTCAACATCATCCTGTTGATGCTCAAATCATGGTTATTTTTGTTTCTTTTCTGAAGGTGGATATATCAATTCCCTGATTGCTAGGACCAATCAATATATGTCATGTCTGAAATTTGTTGTAATGTGGCGACGTTCGTGATGAAACTGGGAATCCCAGCTAAAGTTTGACGGCTTGACATTTGCATGAATATCAGCACTCCATGCATCTCACTACATTTGGTGTTTTTGTACTGAGAGGCATGTTTGAACGAACCAATTGAGCATTGTCCTACATGCAATTTTACCTGACAGCCACTTCGTACTCGTGAATTAACCAATTAAATGTTTAGCATCAAATTTCTCCGTATTTTGCAAGTTGTTTCTGCTTTTTGTATAACAGAGTATTTGTTTCCCTCATTGTGATGTATAGTCTTCTTTTCATATTAATTTTTAAGGTTTATAGCATTTTGAAAGATGTCTCCCCAATGATTCTTGAAGCAGTTCTCAGAAGGAGAAATTCAATCTTTCTCAACTCTTTGCTTGTGACTCCAAATAGTCATCGCGTGAGAGAATTCGGCCACCGTATAACTCTGGTAAGTGAATTTTAACTCTCCTCATGACAACAGTAAATTCTATTGCTTTTTTCTACTCTCTTATATTTCCTAGTAATTAATATTTTGGCTAACCTCTTAGGATGAAAGTACAAGGATGTATAGAAAAGTGATTGATTTCAGAGNCCTTGTTGAAAGCTCTGAAGAGAATGAAAATGCAGTGAATTTTGGAAAGAAATACTTGTCTATTGCACAGCAGAAGTCAGCAGCACTTAGTCAAACCTCTATTTCTGCTTTCAAGCAAGTTTTTCGGGATATTCAGAACTTGGTTTATCAATATGGAAGCAATGATAATTCATTTCTGGCAATGTTGAATGCTGGTAGCAAAGGGAACGTGCTAAAATTAGTCCAACATAGCATGTGCCTAGGTTTGCAACATTCTTTGGTTTCATTATCATTTCGAATCTCTGATCAGCTCTCTTGTGCTTCATGGAACAACCATAAGAACCATTCTGCTGTTCAGAAATCCCATGGAATCCAAGAATGTTCTGAGTCATATATCCCATGTACTGTGGTTGCAAATTCTTTCCGAATGGGCTTAAATCCTTTGGAGTGCTTTGCACATTCATTGACAACACGTGATAGTTCTTTTAGTGGCCATGCTGATGTTTCCGGGACTATAACTCGTAGGCTTATGTTTTTCATGCGTGATTTAGTCACTGCATATGATGGAACTGTTAGAAATGCTTATGGGAATCAAATTGTTCAGTTCTCCTATGTTTCTGATAACTTTTCTACTCCCCATAGTGATGCTCTTGACGCCTCAAATGAGAGGGTTTATGCTTGTAATTTGCTGGGTGGCCACCCTGTTGGTACATTGGCAGCTTGTGCCATTTCAGAGGCTTCATACAGTGCTTTGGATCAACCAGTCAGTGCATTTGAACCGTCACCTCTGTTATCTCTAAAGGTTCTCTCTCCCCCTTCCGCACAACCGTGGCTATACTTCTGTTTTTTGCATTGTGCAAGTACATTATGTAGGCCTAATGCTCCATTGATCACTTAACATAATTTCATGAGCTTCTTTATGCATATATGTTTGCTGATACTTCATTGAGTGCTTGGAGAATTCAGAGTTGACTAACTACGTTTATCTTTAGTTTTTTGTTGAGAATGCCTGACAAAATTTTGCCTATTCCAATTTAACCATGCAGAAAGTCTTGGAATGTGGAGTAAAGAAGAGCACTGGTGATAAAAGTGCATCACTTTTTTTGTCCAGAAGACTTGGAAGATGGGCGAATGGATTTGAGTATGGAGCATTAGAAGTCAAGGATCATTTGGAGAGAGTGCTGTTCTCTGATATAGTCTCAGAAGTAGTGATATAGTGAGTTTTGTCCATTCTATTTTTGGAGCCCTCTATATTAATATTTTTGGTATTCATATTCATCAAGTATTGTTTGAATTTGTAATGTGATCTCTTATTTCTTCCGTCTACACTAGCTTGTCCTCCCAGCCCTACATTAGTCAGAGGGTTTGTCATTTTCACATAGACAAGGTGCTTCATTTTTATCACATACATTCTACTTTGTTGTCCATGAATTGCATTCTCAAGTATTTCTGATCTTTCAGGAAGTCACAAAGAAGAAAAGGCTGAAGTTGCGTACTGTTATTGATGCTCTTTATATGAAGTATGATGCTGCTAGAGTGAAATCAAAATTGCATCTTCCAAACTTGCAGATAGTAAGCAAGTAAGATGCTTCTCAAAAAAAGCCTATCTGTATTGGTTGCTGCAAGTGTTTCATATACCGAGTGGAGAAATTTAAATTATGAAGAAAAATAGAGAACAAGTCTTTTAAGAGTTGCTTGACAGCAGTCCTTTAATTATCTAATAATTTTTGTTGTTTTAGCCTATGACATACTTCTGATCTTGGCGCTCAATTGGCAGGGACTGTTCTGAAGCTGACCTGCAATATGGAACTGGCACAAAAAACTGTATCACAGTTGCATTAACTGAAAGTGCCAGTAATTTGAATGTAGAACTGGATTCTCTTCGTGATGTGGTTATACCGGTCCTCCTAAAAACTGTTATAAAAGGTTTGTACTTAAAAGAGTTTTGCTCTGTCAAACAAGTGAATTTTTTCTTTTTTGCTTCTGATGTCGTCTGTTCCATCTATGATTTGTATATTATGCTTTGATTAATTAATGAATGACTTCCTTTATTGTAATAGGTTTGCATGTTTACTACCTCAAAGGATTTTTGTTTAGTGGAATTTTTAAGTTTGTGGCTAGAAAAGGTGCACCTGCAATGTCCTTGATTGCAAAATGTGAACAGGAAGGGTGGGAAAACTTTGAAAGACACATTCCACATTCATTGGTTTCTCAGTTCGACTATTTCCCCTGTATTTAGAAATTTATAACAAATTAGAAGGAAACTGGCAGTAGAATCTCTTCCAGAAAGTGATGGACAAATTTAGAAACCGCATGTATCTATTTATGTCTTTTGAAATAGTTTTGCCGGGATACATTTAGGACTGAGACAAACTAACACTTATTAAATCATTGTCCAGATTTTTAATTTATGAAAATGCTTCCTAGGCTAGGTAGCTAGCTGTCCATCCTGCTTGGGATATATCTTGGAGTTTGGAGTAACGTGTACAAAAAACATATTTGATTGACTTGAAATTCTATGTCATATAGTTTTTTTGTTGTGGAAAATCTTGAACATGGAAGATTTTAGAAATTAGAAAGAGAAAGTACAAGGTATTGTAGAGAGGTCCTTTAATTTTTCTTCTTAATTCCTTTTTTTGTTATACTGTTATAGAAAATATAACAAACAAATGGTGCCATGTAGTAGGAACCCTCACAGTTGTGTTAATATTCCCAACTTGTTATTTAGGATTCCCTGAATTCAAAAAGGTAGATATCTTATGGAGAGATAGACCAAACCATTCAAAATTTCCAAAGGGCTCTTCAGGTGAACTTTATTTGCGGGTTTTCATGTCTGAACACTGTGAAAGGACTAAATTCTGGAACATCCTCATTGA